ATATATACTAAAAATAAACTACTAAACTACTTGTACTACTGTCCCTACTACGCAGTTTTTCAATTATCGCGGTGCTTCAGGGCACGGATCCCCCGCAATAAACGAGGGACTACTGTATTCTATTTGGAGGCTCCTGAGATTGAAGAAGTCCTTTGGATGAAGGACGAAATGTCTCAGCAAAAAAAGAAACCATCCAGATGACCTGACTGTACATTGTTGGATTTTTACCTGGATTATTGAGCATGAATTTTGGTGCTTTGAACATACGTCCTTCAAATAAGACAAAGTTAAAGGAGTGCTTTGTAACTCGTGAGGTTAATCGACAGCAGGTCAGAGGACTGGGTATAAAAAGAGCATTTTAGTGTGGCTGCATATTTCAGAAGAAAAGATGGGCAGAGGCATGAGCTCCATCAGTACAGGTCTTAGAACGTCTGCTCCCACTAAGATCTGGTCTTCTCAGTGAAGCTCCTGCATATTTCATCCAGACGATGTTCGGCCTCGAGCTGCATCCATCACAGCACGGCGTTAGAGTCCAGGTGCTGCTTTAACTTCTATTCTCAATAAAATATGAGTTGATGAGGTTTACCAATGATTGCAGTTAGTTTTTCTGAAAATCATTTTTGAAATTCACAACGTCAGTCACGGTTATCTGATTTGTGTGCACGGATCTTGCAACGTGTGCATGAATAATAGATGCACGAGGGTGTTTATTAACCTCGTCTATGGATTTACTGATCAATCTTTTTCATCGCTCGTGCAAAAGTTACAAAATATGCACAGAGGAAAGGCGGCGCTCCAACTGGAGCATGGGCTGTTTTAACGAAAAACTACATTAACTACAACAAATATGTAATTTACCTTTAATTAAATTATAATTCAAAGCAGTTCTGCGAATAAAACAGTTTGTGAGACATCTGGAGCGACTTTAGATTTGAAGGATTTAGATTAAACAGATCCAAAGCATGTGAAGATTAATAAAAGTAGGTTTTGTTTGTTTGCAGATTCAAAATAATTCTTCAAATTCATTCTTCTTGACTCAAAGGTGCACAAAAGCTACAAAGAACCCAAAACCTCAAAGGATAACTTTAGAATAATGCAAAAGAGGAATTAAATTTTCCACGTCGGACAAAGACGTCGCAGCATAAAACACAGACGGAAGATGAAACTCTGCGTGTTTATTATTTGAGGTAAACAGGAAGTCGTGTTTGTGAACCAAACAAAGCCGACACAATTACTCCAGACCTCTGGAACATTTTCCACAAGAGCCTGGAAGTATTTTATCTCCCAAAGTAAAGTAAGAGAAGGCGAACGCAGTCGGTGCAACAAGCTCCTTATCTTCCAGCTGCGCATCTTTCAAACGAAGAGCGGCGCCACGCTAAGAGGATTTCTGTTTCGGTTGAAATTAATTTCTAAACAGATAGATGGATTGTAATTTGCTGGTTTCTGTATGAAAAGTCGGATTTGGTTTCGGTGCAGCGTGATTGCGTGCTGCAGGAGGAGCAGCCATGTCTGTACCATCACGTGTTTGTTAGAGAGTTTAGTTGCTCTGTGTGCTGCTGAACACTCAGAGCATTCTGGACAGATTCATGAATCAAACTGGGGAGTTTCTGTGGAATAAAAATGTCCGATCAGGAAGTTGAGAGCTAAAAGCTCATTTAACTACATGTACTTTATGTTTATCAGACATTTTAAGCACAAAACACCTGAGAAGGTGTCTCTGTTCATCTTTCCATCCCATTTGTGTCATGATGGTTGACATGGTGGTGATGATGGGTCTCATTCCAGGAGTCTGCACAGTACCTGTAGTGTCGGGTGTCTTTCAGGGCTCGGTCGCTGGGGATGCGTTCGCTCTCCCTCTGGTTGAAGGCGTACAGTGTGTACGGGTCGTCGCCAGGCTTCCAGCGCCGAGCGTTCAGGTAACTCCGCTCATCAAAACCCTCCATCATGTCCTCCCATTCTGCATCCGAGAGCTGTAGAGCAGGCAGACGGTCAGAGCGGGAACAAACGGTCATTTTCACACCATTCGACGTTTGTCTTCAAAGACCTGGGTCAGAACTGTCCAAGAGATCATCGAAGGAAAAAAACTTTTCTTAATCTGGAAAAAAGAAGATATTGTATTTGGACAATTTATTGGTTAAAGGGTTGAAACAGGATTACTGGCCCTTAATGTCAAACATGTCCAAAGAACTTTTGAGGGACTTTTGATTGTGTCTTTAAACAGATTAGCATACGAGTCAAGACAAGCTTTAGTTGTCAGATCCTTGCACAAACTAACTGTGATGTCAGCGGTGCAGTTTTTGATTCTGGTTTTGGTGTAAGCCATTTGGAATCAGAATGCAGAATTTTCCAGTTGTCTGTTAGAAAATTAAACTGGAACACCCCTGGAGACTCCAAAAACGAACAAACCATCAACCAATGAACCAGCCAAACCAACCAACCCAATCCAAAATAAAGGTTGAATGAAAAACCAACCCAACCCAGTCAACCCAACTCAAACCAACCAACATAACCCAATCCAACCAAACAAACTAATTAACCATCCATCCACCCATTATCTTTACCTACTTCTTCCTTTTGGGGTCCCAGGGGTCACTGGTGCACATATCCAGCAATTATTGTGCAAGAGGTGGGGGACACCCTGGACAGGTCTCCAGTCCATCACAGGGACACATAGAGACAAACAAGACAAACAACCGTTCACTCTCTCACACCAATTTAGAGTTACCAGTCAATCTAACATGCATGTTTTTGGTCTGTGGGAGGAAACCAGAGGACCCGGAGAAAACCCACGCATGCACGGAGAGAACATGCAAACTCCACCCAGAAAGGTCCCTGGCCAGGTTTTGATACGATGACCTCTTACTGAGAGGCGACAGCTCCACCAACTGCTCCACTGTGCTGCCACTCCAAAAACCAGAGGTCTCTGAGCAACCCTGACCTCAAAGTCCAACATGGCTGCCTTGTGCACATATGAAGCAGCTGCAGCAGCAAACTTATTTTCACTTCTGACAGTTCGTATCTGTTTAAGTCAGTCACATGCATACTACGTGACAACTTGGTGAGGAAACATCCATCATCACTGGCTTGGCTGTGTTCTGACTTTTGAGGAAAACAGAATGCAGCAATAAACCATCAACTGAGGAAGATGATACTGCGCAGCAGAAATGGATTTATAGGAAGACAAACAGGAAATCTGGTCTTTATTTATGAAATGCACTTGCATAGTCTCATCTTATCAGAAGTGTGTTGAGGAACAGACTGCTGTCATTACCGTGCTCTGCAGAAGGTCTTACAACTCATTTGTGCCAGTCTAAGATGGTATGACTCCTACCAGCCTCAGATAAATCTATGAAGACTAACAGGACACAGTCAGGAACATTTAATCTATTTAATGACTTCAATGACTTTTTATTTGCCATCATAATGCTACTAGATCTGTTTTATTTCCCTTCTTTGATCAGTAATGTATATATTTATCTATTTGACATACTTGGATGAGTTTTTTTAAATGAAGTGACATTTGCAGTAATTTGTTTCTTGTTAAATGTTTCAGATGCTTTCAGAATCTGTCTGACTGAATCAGACAGATGTTTTTTAATAAAATATAGAGTTATGAAACTGTATGCCATCATATTTAGAATTTAAAAACAGAGGGAATTTTTTTTTGTTACAGTAAATAAAATGATCAAACAGTAGAAAATTTTAGCTGTTTTTAAATTATCTTAGAATGAAGTTTTTTTGTTGTTGTTGTTGTCAACTTTACCATCCACAGATAAAATAAGTCACTTATAAAAAAAAGTAAAATCCGACGTGACTATAGGATTTAATCAGAAACCAGAAGAACCTTCAGGGTCAGATGAAGCTGTTCAAACTTTACGATGTGAGCAGAAGTGTTGCTTGAAGTGTTGCTTTTGTTGCCGAGTGCTGATCGTCATCGCAGTGGATGAAAACTGAAAGTGTGATTTAGTCATAAATGTCAGATTGGGAGTCAGAAAGTGCTGAGCGTCGATGCATCTGCCGTCTGCACGAAGAGGCTTTAAAAGGCTCACAGAAGCACTCAGGGGTGGTTTTAAATGACGAAGACTCAGAGTGGTTTACCCTCCAGCTCTTCTGGTTTTACCAAGATGGATGCTGAACCTCAGGTGTCCATCCTCCGTGCTTTCTCTGAGTTCTCTGACTAACTGGCTGCTCTTTGTGTCTCAGCAGCTCTATATGAAGGCTCAACAGCATGTCGGCTTTAAAGTCACAATTATTGTATGGAAATTTATACAAACAAGAAAAGGTTGGGTCAGACATGAGCATGGAAACAATGTGCACGGCCAGGAGTGCAGTTTTGTGAAGCTGTGCACAAAATAAACTGTGATTTTTCAAATCGCCACTCAAAACAACCAAAAGGTTTACCAGTGACTGTTACAAACATTCAGAAGTCAGCGAGACTGAAACAGAAAAATTATCACTTTTCCCACAAATCTGGGTCATCAACTAGTCTCCAACATTCAGAGCCAAGTGACACGCCACCTTAAGAGTTCTTTAATAACAGCTAAAGAAGTACAACTCTCTTAAAAAACAAGTGGTACACCGATGTCTCCCCTCGCTGAGAGATTTGATTTATGAGTGTTGGTAGATTCAAGATGAGTTTGTTTTTCTGGACTGGAATTGAACAGGAATTGAAAGTAAACCTAAATGTTTTTGGTGCAAGACGTTCAAGTGGAGAGGAGTTACAGTGTGGAGAACAACAGATGGAGGTGTGTATTTAAATATATATATATATA